CCATACATACCACGACCAGCCCCAATACTTATATCTAAAACTTCAAACAAATATTTTCTTAATAGAAAATTTATATTACATTCACATGTATTACGCAACACTATTCTTCCCTCTCTTGATTGGCAGTAAGAGAGAAAATTATATGGGAATTACATACACATCGCACATCATTTAAAATCCAGAACTTCCTGCATACCAGTGGTGTCTGTCTATATTATAAATATGTAGACCATTAATTCATCAATAAAACATACAACAGAGCATTTGATTATAGATTACTATGAAGCCAGCACTCCTCCAAAAGGCAAGAATTAACATCAATCAGCAATGCCAGTACCAATATTTTCCTTTCTCCTTTTCCATCAAAATTAATGATTATGAATTCCTTATCCGAGAGAACATTTCTTCTTCTTCTTACAAGATAAAGAAAATGCATCATTAACATACAAGACAAATCAGCAGCACCAAAAGAAGAAACAGAGAAAATTAAAAATAACCAACTTGATATTCGATGGTAATTCGAGAAAACAGAGAAAGAATCTGAAGCAGCACAAACCCTAGCAGGAGCAGCGCAGAGAACAGGCTTGGAGCATTCCAATTCGAACAATATGCGTGCATCCTCAGTCTGGTGGACAGAAACCTTCTCCTTCGTGGCCATGAAAAAGTGGTCGCCGGACGCATTGAACTTGACCAGAGTAGCTTCCTTGTCGAGGCGCAAGCAGCAGTTGCGGCGGCCGCGGACGAGGTTGACGACGGCGAGGCAGTTGTCACGGGCAACGGTGAGGGCGCGCTCACCGGACGGGTGCAGGGCGAGGTCGTTGATAGCAGCGTTTCGGTGGACTGAGAGCGTGGTAAGATGCACGAAGCCGTCCGCGTCAAAAATGGCGAGGGAGCCAGCGGCGTCGGCGGAGATGAGGTTGCGGGGGAAGGGGAGATTGGGAGGGCCGTAGAAGGAGAGGGCGGTGACGGAGGCAGAGTGTTGGTGGAGGGAACCGAGGGAGGAGGCGGCGGAGAGGTCGTAGAGGTGGATGGTGTCGTCGTCGCCGCCGGAAGCGACGACGGAGCCTGAGACGGCGACGGTTTTGATGGAGGAGAGGTGGGAAGGGTAGGAGAAAAGAGGGGTTAGGGATTGAGATTGGGGCTTTAGGGTGAGACCCCAGATGAATTTCTCGTACGAACCTGCAACCAAACTCATTTTTTTCACTCCTCGCTCTTCTTCCTAAAACCCTAGGGTTTTTTAACCACTATCTCCTCTCGTTGCAACCTTGGACTTTTGAGGTATATGTGCTACTCTTGTTTCTTCAAATATTTCATAAAAAAATTAATAGGGTTCAAACATTTTAAAAAGAAAAATCTATTTTATAAACAATTATTAGTGTTTTTATTTATTAACATATGGTTATTGTTCTTAGTTTCAATAACTTCAAAATTATAATCTTTATTTTCAAGTACTATGAATACTTCTGCAGTTATAAAAAAAAATGTCACGGCATAATTTTAGCAAAAAAAGTTATCAAATGTTATAATTATTGATTACTTCCACAGGGACGGATTCAGTGACTTTGGTATTATAGTCATGTGTAACCATTTAAATTTTACTTGAGTATTTATTTATTAAAAAAAATTATGATGATATAAATATTTTAATATCAAAATAATAAGTATATTCTTCTGTCAAATAACAGTGAAAATCATATTTGCATACGTATAATATAAATTAAAGATGTTTAATAATTTAGAATATGAACAAATTTGACGATGGTGTATATAGTTATCTTTTATCTTATATCCGATTTAAACACTAAATTATTTTCATAACTATGTATAAAGAATCTAAATATTCTTTATATTCAGACAATTTATTTTTTATTCGTATTTACTGTAATAAATTATTCTAAACACTTTTATAATTATTTATTCTCATTTATATGTGTTATGTTTTCTTTTTGAAACAATAATGTTTTATTTAGTCTTCAAATAATTTTTACATATTTTTTTCTTTAATTTTTAGTTTTGAAATCATTTGGCAGTAAGTATGAACTTGAAAATTTAATTTTATACATATGACCCCATTAGTTAAATTAAACTACATTAAAATTCAATAATTTGCTAAAATTATTGCACCACGAATAAAATACGTTGTCCTATATTTTACCGTTTAATTTTAATTTTCAAGGTATTAACCAAAGAACTAATAACTTGAAAAATAATATTATATATTGTATTTAATAAAATAGCTAATACTATTTTAAATTTTAAAGGCATATCTTTAATAAAAATCATAATTTTGTTTTCTGTTTTATTTCCCTAATCTTGAGTCCCTTAATTTTTATATTTTATTAAACAATAAATTTCAGAAGCCATGTTGATTTAAAAACACTAAAACTCGATTTTTTTAACATTAAATGGTTTTAATATAAATAGTTTTTTTATAAATGAGATTCATTATTTTAAAACACAACATCTCTTTACAAATCACTTTTTTATAGCTCTCTCACTTCTCACTAGGAGTTTCCATGCTTTATTATTGAAGAACCAAGATTGTAAGATTAATCTTGGTCGTGAGTTCTTTAATTTGGACCAATCAGTTTCTTTGAGCAAGTAAGTTAAGTTTCAACCATTTTTCTTTGGTCATTTTTTGTATTTTTTACATATGGGTCCTACTTAGCTTACATGTGTCTTTTGAGTCTTCAGTTTGAGTCTTTGATGATTAATGGTTATAACGATGTACCTTGATCGTGTTTCCGTTATTCATAAGAGTAGATAGAACTTCCTGAGCATTTGGAGTTGTTTTAGGACCCTATAGTTGTTTGATTATTTTTTAGGTAATGAAAGCTAGTTACATTGATTTTAGCTTATAAGCAAGTTTTGATTTATGTTTGTATGTTTGTATGGCAGTTGGATTGTATAATTGAGTTGTTTGATGAGATATAACCTTGATTTAAGTTGGGAAGCTTGAATTGTCTTAGATATAATGTGATTGAAACTCTGTTATGATTGAATGATTGAGTTTGTATATGGAGTGAATTGTATTGTTGAAATGCATATGATCTACGAATTAGTGGGTTTGAACATATGTGGTTGGTGTTAGACTAGTTTTGTAGGATTGGAATGACATAAATCTGTAGAATTCGGTTCTACATAATTGTGCAGACTCACTCAACAAGCCTATATTCATTGGACATAGTCAAAGTCAGAGAGTTCACTAACTTAAAGGTCTTTGGGCAAGAATATACTCGTTGAACGACTTTTTAGAGAATTTAAGTTTATAAGTTCTAATGGTTTTCTCGTTGAGCAAGCATATTTGGTCGTTGAATGAGTGTGCTTTCATGCACTACTAGTTGAGCGAACAAATCTAGTGACTGAGTGAATGGGCTTTCCTTGAGTGAGCAGATCTGGTGGTTGAACGAAAATACTATAATTTTAACTTAGTTTTCATGTACCTCTTATGATGTTTTAATGAGTGTGATTATATGAATGTTAAAAGCAATGTTTGGTTTATAATATGATTATGAGTATGTATGTCGTTTGTTCATGTATAATATAATGACTAGTCTTTTATGTGTAATTGAGAAAGATTGGAACCAATCCAAGAAGGAATTGATGGTGATGTTGTTAGTGTCTACTTTGACATGTAGGATTCTGAAAGTAGGTATCATGATATACTACCAACCATTCAACTCATATGGAGATGAATAAGGTGGAGGAGAGAATGGGACGAGGTCTTCACCCTAAACTTTTGGTCTCAAGTGTGAAAGATTAACTTCACAAGTAATAGGGTGATAACCCCTGCATTTATGACTTTGGGGGATATATATACCACTATGGGTGTATACTTATATTGAATACGTATGTCAAAGCATCTGAATAATTGAGTCTAATGTAAACTCATTATATAATTATGAGTTATATAATGTTATAAATGTTGAACTAATATGTGATGTGTTAAATTGTTTGTAAAATTTTCTTTTGAACATTAGTCTTTTTGATGTCTTTGGTGTTTATTTATTTATTTTGTAATCACCTTATTGGTATGAACCAATAATGGATAAATGTTGAAACATCTTTAATGAATTACAATGATGATGTAGAAGGACTTCTTAGTTATCTAGTAGTTATCTTTAACTCTTTTAAATATATTTATTATAATAATTATTTTTTCTAAATAACTATATTAATTTTATATTTATAAGTGAAGACAAATATATTTTATTTTGTTAATTTTATAATGTCTTATTTTATCAAATATATTTTATTTTATTAATTTTATAATTTCTTATTTTATGAGTGATAAAAAACTAAAATTATAATATTTCACAAAACATGATTTTTTTTATTACATAATGTACAAAAATCTTACATTTTACTTTAAAAATTATTGTAGTTAGAAGAATCAGATCGAAGGTTTAATTATTCAACTTCCGAACAAATATAGACTAAGGTTATCAAAGATGATTCGGCTTTTTTAATTAATGGGTCAAGGGTAAACGCACAGTCTCATGTTGGGTTAATAAACTATTTTTTTTTCTCTTTTAGAAGATAATTTTAAATATAAGAATTAAAAAAAAATAAAATACATATTTCAAAACTTATTTCAACATTAATAAAACTAATTTTAAATTTTAAATATGATAATTTGATATATAAATTAACACATCATAATAAAACAGCATCACCTTTAATTTTTCAAAATATAGTTATTAAAAGTCAAACACATAAACTTACAAGTCATTCCGGGCTTAAAGACAGCTGGATAGGCCTATCCATCTTTGAAAAACTGTTTTTTCGATTTTAAAAATTGCAATTTTTTACCAATACTTATTTATGATTCACTCAGTTGATAACCAACCTATCATGTCGAAGGAAACAAACATCATGTTCACTGTTTTTGTCAATACTCTTTCTCCACAACTCCAAAAAGTGTGGAGGTGTGTGTTTGTTTCTTTGTTTCCTTTCCTCAAGACACAAGGAGAAATGTTGCACAGATATTGCAAGAAATATTGAACTACAAAATCAGTGGGGAAGGGGATTAAACCCCAAATTCCCAAGTAATATATTTTCTATTACTTTCACTTAATATTTTCCCCCTATACTCAATCAATTTATTTTCCATTTTGAGACACTCTAAGTACATTAGTTTCCCAACTATGACAGTGGTTTTCTATGTATAACCTATGAAGTAATTTGAATCACAGAAAACAGAACTGTCACCACTCACCCAGCCTGCAGATGCAAAAACATCTAATACTCAGTTTGGTACATCATAGACTGATACAACAAATACTGAGAAGAGAGCATCTTACCTAAGTTTTAGATACAAAGGACCAAATTTTTTTCCATGCGTTAATCAGTGTTTTATGAGCAGAAACATGTCCTTCCATCACACTATCAGCTGCAGGTCCCACTTCACGGACAAATTTGACAGATTCTGAAAGCCGATTCAGAAGGTTCATCAATGCAATTACCTCATTCCTTTGCAGCTGCAGCTGAAAGATCGTCAAGTTCAATTTATAAGGTGTTGGTCAATTAATAATAGTGTGAAGGGAGGAAGAAAAAATAAATTCTGAGGTAAAATGTACTTACTGTTTGACTTGAGTTTTCTTGACCATCAACAGAGAAGAGAATCTTTAATGCAGTTCCAAGACCAAGAACCTGAAGCTTACCCCATAATCGACACTTCTCACATCCTATACAATCCATCAATGCACTGTTTCCACAAAAAATATATTATTCAATTGCCAGTGAGATAAATAAATAAAAAAAGAGCGTAAAATGAATCAGTAGTAGAATAATAAAACGGAGAACAAGTGAAAGGATTGGTCACTTAGTTGTCTTATACAATAAAAAGTTATGTTCAGATGCGATCAGCACTCAAAAAGTCCAGATAAACCCACTTCACATCCATCAGTATGTGGAAACTCAAAAGACTAAAATTCCAAAGCATGAAGATGAAAAAGGAAAATCATACTTATCAATTACAGGATTTTTTGGGAAAAATCCAACCTACACACTTTGATTCCTTCCACAAATATTATTTTGTGAGCATTACTATGAATCATTACTAATCAATTGTCTTTTCTACATATTTGTTAGTAGTATGAAGCCTTCCTACAACAGACTAAGTCACAACAAGCATAGAAATTATAAATGGATAATATTTAGCTAGCCCAGAACCAAGTCCACTAGTTTTCAGTAATACCTGATGTTTCTAAATTGTTGTTGAATTTGCAGTTTTAGCTCAGGTCCACTTTGGCCTCTCCACAAATTAGCTTCATCAAATGGAATCGGACAAGCAGCTTGAAGCTTGGGGTTATGAAGTAGCTGTTTTATCAAGGACTGTGTCTTAAGGTCCTCATAATGGTTACCTGTATCATACTCTGCCTGTTCCAGATAATCTGCAGCCTAAAGAAGAATAAAGAGCAACGTAGATTGCATCAAGAATATAATTAACTAGTATTTTTAAAAGAATAAAATAGCAAGATTAATCCATATATAGATGCACAGTTTGTGACGTTAAACCATCACATTTTATACTCACCTTGGTCACTGCTCGCAGCACAAAGAGAAAAGTGAAATACAAATTGCTGACACGATCAGGGTATTTTAGGACTCGATCATACACCAAAGTAAGATTTTGGCCCCACTGGAATAATAAAAAAGAAAGAAGTTAGATATTGAGATATATTTTTCTTATGTTCAGTGAAATATATTGGAATAACATGGGTATGCCACAAAAATAAAAATGCAGGAAGCTTTAAAATGAGCTACATCCAAATTACTTTATAGTATAGAACGGCCCATAACTTTGAGGCTCAAATATGCAACAGCTATATTAATTCCTCCACCAATGCAAATTTCTTTCCAAACAGAAAACTAGCTATTGCTAGAAAGAGGAACGTGAGATTTACCAAATTTGAAGTTTCATCAAGTAGATACTCAGCAGCTATATGTACTGATATGGAGGAGTGAAGACCGGATATCAATTTATACAAAATCTTTTCCTCTTGGCATAACTCTTGAGACGGATCTGCAGAAGACATTTTGTTTTTTCAAAATAATGAACCATAGAAACCAGAGAAAAGAAACTCCCCTGTTATTAACATTTCAAAGATATCTTTCACTAAAACAAATGATAAGAACACAACCAATATCCATCCTACGGAAAGCAAGACAATGTATAATTAATGCATACAGATAGAAAAATTACTGGATTTACATTCAAAATTACTGGACTGTCAATTTTTGACAATATGAAAGGTACCATCAAACAACCTAAAATCCAAGGCCTTTTCAAAATATTATAATTTGGTCGAATTATTTAAGTGAATAAGCTTTTCAGAGAAAACTCACATTTGGGGCAGTTCTCAGAGTAGACAGCATCCCATATCCTTCTTGCAGAAGCACCAGAGTAACCAGTATACCTTTCAGGATTCAGTTGAAGATTCACGTATGTCATCTCGTCTGCAAATGCAAACATGGCTTTCAATTGACACACTTATTTTTCATAGAAAAATGTTGAAAACATCATAAAAAGATTTAATAATTTGAATAACGTGTTGCCACCTGTTAAAAAAAAGTTAAAAGGCACTTTTTCTAGAAGTGAATGCTAACTACACTGTTTGCTTTCTGATACTGAAAACCAAGGGCTGATCAAGTTGAAATTTAATCATAGAAAGAAATATCTTGCAGATCAAGATATCAAACAAAACGATTCACAAAGATATACTCATTAGAGGAGTATAAATCTGATGTCACTCAATATACTTAAGAATCCTAAATTTTATACTTCACTGCTAATATCTGCTATTTCACTTTCACACAATTAATTTGGATAAACAACAACTGATAGCACAAATAATTTAGATATCAATTAGAATATAGAGTAATAACGCACCGTTGTCAGTCTCATCATCATTTGTCCATGGATTGTCTATTTCTGTCCATCCTCTGAAAACTTTACTGTCTAAAGTACGGTCAACAGCTGCCTGAGGTTTACCTTCTTGACAAACAAGATCATTCATTGAGAAGGCATGTGGCTTCTTGAATGATTCAGGGAATTCACTTTCTGGACATTCACATACACTACAGTCCCGCAACCGGCACATGCCGTCATCGGGCCAGAAAGGACAGTCACACCATAATTTCACCTATAAAAATTTCACCCACTAAATTCAGTTGACAATGCAAATGAGCATGCATAGACTTGATTGATTCTAAAGCATTGATTCATTCCAACAACATAAGTGATTTTCCCTAATTTCTCATACTGTTGATCAATTCCAAATTCAAATATTTCATGGATCAAGAGAACCTAAAAAAATCACCAATAGAACACAATTTTGGAACCAACATAAGTTCTTTTAGATAGGCNAATAGTTTTTTTATAAATGAGATTCATTATTTTAAAACACAACATCTTTTTACAAATCACTTTTTTATAGCTCTCTCACTTCTCACTAGGAGTTTCCATGCTTTATTATTGAAGAACCAAGATTGTAAGATTAGTCTTGGTCGTGAGTTCTTTAATTTGGACCAATCAGTTTCTTTGAGCAAGTAAGTTAAGTTTCAACCATTTTTCTTTGGTCATTTATTGTATTTTTTACATATGGGTCCTACTTAGCTTACATGTGTCTTTTGAGTCTTCAGTTTGAGTCTTTGATGATTAATGGTTATAACGATGTACCTTGATCGTGTTTCCGTTATTCATAAGAGTAGATAGAACTTCCTGAGCATTTGGAGTTGTTTTAGGACCCTATAGTTGTTTGATTATTTTTTAGGTAATGAAAGCTAGTTACATTGATTTTAGCTTATAAGCAAGTTTTGATTTATGTTTGTATGTTTGTATGGCAGTTGGATTGTATAATTGAGTTGTTTGATGAGATATAACCTTGATTTAAGTTGGGAAGCTTGAATTGTCTTAGATATAATGTGATTGAAACTCTGTTATGATTGAATGATTGAGCTTGTATATGGAGTGAATTGTATTGTTGAAATGCATATGATCTACGAATTAGTGGGTTTGAACATATGTGGTTGGTGTTAGACTAGTTTTGTAGGATTGGAATGACATAAATCTGTAGAATTCGGTTCTACATAATTGTGCAGACTCACTCAACAAGCCTATATTCATTGGACATAGTCAAAGTCAGAGAGTTCACTAACTTAAAGGTCTTTGGGCAAGAATATACTCGTTGAACGACTTTTTAGAGAATTTAAGTTTATAAGTTCTAATGGTTTTCTCGTTGAGCAAGCATATTTGGTCGTTGAATGAGTGTGCTTTCATGCACTACTAGTTGAGCGAACAAATCTAGTGACTGAGTGAATGGGCTTTCCTTGAGTGAGCAGATCTGGTGGTTGAACGAAAATACTATAATTTTAACTGAGTTTTCATGTACCTCTTATGATGTTTTAATGAGTGTGATTATATGAATGTTAAAAGCAATGTTTGGTTTATAATATGATTATGAGTATGTATGTCGTTTGTTCATGTATAATATAATGACTAGTCTTTTATGTGTAATTGAGAAAGATTGGAACCAATCCAAGAAGGAATTGATGGTGATGTTGTTAGTGTCTACTTTGACATGTAGGATTCTGAAAGTAGGTATCATGATATACTACCAACCATTCAACTCATATGGAGATGAATAAGGTGGAGGAGAGAATGGGACGAGGTCTTCACCCTAAACTTTTGGTCTCAAGTGTGAAAGATTAACTTCACAAGTAATAGGGTGATAACCCCTGCATTTATGACTTTGGGGGATATATATACCACTATGGGTGTATACTTATATTGAATACGTATGTCAAAGCATCTGAATAATTGAGTCTAAAGTAAACTCATTATATAATTATGAGTTATATAATGTTATAAATGTTGAACTAATATGTGATGTGTTAAATTGTTTGTAAAATTTTCTTTTGAACATTAGTCTTTTTGATGTCTTTGGTGTTTATTTATTTATTTTGTAATCACCTTATTGGTATGAACCAATAATGGATAAATGTTGAAACATCTTTAATGAATAACAATGATGATGTAGAAGGACTTCTTAGTTATCTAGTAGTTATCTTTAACTCTTTTAAATATATTTATTATAATAATTATTTTTTCTAAATAACTATATTAATATTATATTTATAAGTGAAGACAAATATATTTTATTTTGTTAATTTTATAATGTCTTATTTTATCAAATATATTTTATTTTATTAATTTTATAATTTCTTATTTTATGAGTGATAAAAAACTAAAATTATAATATTTCACAAAACATGATTTTTTTTATTACATAATGTACAAAAATCTTACATTTTACTTTAAAAAATATTGTAGTTAGAAGAATCAGATCGAAGGTTTAATTATTCAACTTCCGAACAAATATAGACTAAGGTTATCAAAGATGATTCGGCTTTTTTAATTAATGGGTCAAGGGTAAACGCACAGTCTCATGTTGGGTTAATAAACTATTTTTTTTTCTCTTTTAGAAGATAATTTTAAATATAAGAATTAAAAAAAAATAAAATACATATTTCAAAACTTATTTCAACATTAATAAAACTAATTTTAAATTTTAAATATGATAATTTGATATATAAATTAACACATCATAATAAAACAGCATCACCTTTAATTTTTCAAAATATAGTTATTAAAAGTCAAACACATAAACTTACAAGTCATTCCGGGCTTAAAGACAGCTGGATAGGCCTATCCATCTTTGAAAAACTGTTTTTTCGATTTTAAAAATTGCAATTTTTTACCAATACTTATTTATGATTCACTCAGTTGATAACCAACCTATCATGTCGAAGGAAACAAACATCATGTTCACTGTTTTTGTCAATACTCTTTCTCCACAACTCCAAAAAGTGTGGAGGTGTGTGTTTGTTTCTTTGTTTCCTTTCCTCAAGACACAAGGAGAAATGTTGCACAGATATTGCAAGAAATATTGAACTACAAAATCAGTGGGGAAGGGGATTAAACCCCAAATTCCCAAGTAATATATTTTCTATTACTTTCACTTAATATTTTCCCCCTATACTCAACCAATTTATTTTCCATTTTGAGACACTCTAAGTACATTAGTTTCCCAACTATGACAGTGGTTTTCTATGTATAACCTATGAAGTAATTTGAATCACAGAAAACAGAACTGTCACCACTCACCCAGCCTGCAGATGCAAAAACATCTAATACTCAGTTTGGTACATCATAGACTGATACAACAAATACTGAGAAGAGAGCATCTTACCTAAGTTTTAGATACAAAGGACCAAATTTTTTTCCATGCGTTAATCAGTGTTTTATGAGCAGAAACATGTCCTTCCATCACACTATCAGCTGCAGGTCCCACTTCACGGACAAATTTGACAGATTCTGAAAGCCGATTCAGAAGGTTCATCAATGCAATTACCTCATTCCTTTGCAGCTGCAGCTGAAAGATCGTCAAGTGCAATTTATAAGGTGTTGGTCAATTAAAAATAGTGTGAAGGGAGGAAGAAAAAATAAATTCTGAGGTAAAATGTACTTACTGTTTGACTTGAGTTTTCTTGACCATCAACAGAGAAGAGAATCTTTAATGCAGTTCCAAGACCAAGAACCTGAAGCTTACCCCATAATCGACACTTCTCACATCCTATACAATCCATCAATGCACTGTTTCCACAAAAAATATATTATTCAATTGCCAGTGAGATAAATAAATAAAAAAAGAGCGTAAAATGAATCAGTAGTAGAATAATAAAACGGAGAACAAGTGAAAGGATTGGTCACTTAGTTGTCTTATACAATAAAAAGTTATGTTCAGATGCGATCAGCACTCAAAAAGTCCAGATAAACCCACTTCACATCCATCAGTATGTGGAAACTCAAAAGACTAAAATTCCAAAGCATGAAGATGAAAAAGGAAAATCATACTTATCAATTACAGGATTTTTTGGGAAAAATCCAACCTACACACTTTGATTCCTTCCACAAATATTATTTTGTGAGCATTACTATGAATCATTACTAATCAATTGTCTTTTCTACATATTTGTTAGTAGTATGAAGCCTTCCTACAACAGACTAAGTCACAACAAGCATAGAAATTATAAATGGATAATATTTAGCTAGCCCAGAACCAAGTCCACTAGTTTTCAGTAATACCTGATGTTTCTAAATTGTTGTTGAATTTGCAGTTTTAGCTCAGGTCCACTTTGGCCTCTCCACAAATTAGCTTCATCAAATGGAATCGGACAAGCAGCTTGAAGCTTGGGGTTATGAAGTAGCTGTTTTATCAAGGACTGTGTCTTAAGGTCCTCATAATGGTTACCTGTATCATACTCTGCCTGTTCCAGATAATCTGCAGCCTAAAGAAGAATAAAGAGCAACGTAGATTGCATCAAGAATATAATTAACTAGTATTTTTAAAAGAATAAAATAGCAAGATTAATCCATATATAGATGCACAGTTTGTGACGTTAAACCATCACATTTTATACTCACCTTGGTCACTGCTCGCAGCACAAAGAGAAAAGTGAAATACAAATTGCTGACACGATCAGGGTATTTTAGGACTCGATCATACACCAAAGTAAGATTTTGGCCCCACTGGAATAATAAAAAAGAAAGAAGTTAGATATTGAGATATATTTTTCTTATGTTCAGTGAAATATATTGGAATAACATGGGTATGCCACAAAAATAAAAATGCAGGAAGCTTTAAAATGAGCTACATCCAAATTACTTTACAGTATAGAACGGCCCATAACTTTGAGGCTCAAATATGCAACAGCTATATTAATTCCTCCACCAATGCAAATTTCTTTCCAAACAGAAAACTAGCTATTGCTAGAAAGAGGAACGTGAGATTTACCAAATTTGAAGTTTCATCAAGTAGATACTCAGCAGCTATATGTACTGATATGGAGGAGTGAAGACCGGATATCAATTTATACAAAATCTTTTCCTCTTGGCATAACTCTTGAGACGGATCTGCAGAAGACATTTTGTTTTTTCAAAATAATGAACCATAGAAACCAGAGAAAAGAAACTCCCCTGTTATTAACATTTCAAAGATATCTTTCACTAAAACAAATGATAAGAACACAACCAATATCCATCCTACGGAAAGCAAGACAACGTATAATTAATGCATACAGATAGAAAAATTACTGGATTTACATTCAAAAT